CTTCTATATATATATCTAAACGTCAATGATTCTGAGAAAGGCTGAAAAGAAGAAATGAATCAAAATGCAATCACAGTATCTTATCCCAGAGCATGAGCTTAAAATATAGCATATGCTCAGCTTAAGAGGTCTAGAAGTGCAAGGAGTCACACTTTGTAATCTGGTCCCTACAAATATGATCTATCCTTTGTATTATTGTGTTAAAGTGGATGTTTATCGTTCTCAAGCTCTGACACATTTGTTCGGTATATACTGTGTGCATCATGACTTCTGTTACCAGGGAAGGAATGTTTACAATTCAGGGCATTCAGGGTAGTTGCAAGTGAGGCCACAAAATAAACAAACAAATAGCACACTATGTTCATTCACAGCAGAATATGATGTAGCGCTTCCAGTCATTTCCTGCTCAAATTAAAAACGTAATGAGTTTGAAGTCATATTCTTAGTTAAGCTGGGTCAGGAGGCCCCTGATTAAATGCACTCAAACGATGCAACTACTTTTCCCATTACACTGTATATTAGGGCTGTGCAATATATCGAAATATCGCAAATGTACATATCGCAATATGCATATCGCTACGGCTTGCAATATTTGGGGCCATGAACAAAAGACAAAGAGAAAATCACTCACTGCTCTTACCTAAATAACTTTTGTAGCTTAAATAAGAATCAGTGCATATTGAATTCATAGTAGGAATGGGCGATATCTTATCGTTTGCGATATACTGGTAAAAATTAGTCTTCCCGCAATAATAACGATAAAGTCTAGTTGTTGACATATTTCTGTGTGCAACAGTGCGGAGCGACATCTCGGAAGGCGGACGTGAAATTGAGGAGGAGTTTATCGCTAAATGAGGAGCTCCAGCTCCTTTTACAATCTGTAACTGGTTTGGTTAGGGCTGTACAGTGCATAAAAAATCGGTCTGAATAAATGTAGTAGCATGTGTGCGATACAGTTTTGCATGTGTATGAGCCTCTTTACAAACCTGTTGTCCAACAAAGATATAATTTATATACATGCTTTTTCTCCAAATTAACTTAATAACATAGTCGAGTGTTTGAAATACTTCTTTTTGTGACCAGACGTGGTTTCATATTACAGAATGATAGTATTATATACAGTGATAAAGGCCATGTCGATTAACATTGCATTATAAATATTTATTCACCACTTAAGTGTGCGCAAACACAAGGAATTTGTTGTGGTTTTACAGGAACATACATGCATACAAATAACCATATATATATGACACAAGATAGTTATAGAAGTTCACAGAACTGACTCAGCATCAGCTGAGTAAAACTGTTTCATCTGAGCATGTGGCACTTTAAGCATTATCGTATCGCATATTGAATATCACATTATTTAATGAGTTATCGCATATCGCATTTTTCTTCAATATCGCACAGCCCTACTGTATATGTTCAGTTACATTTTAGTCACATGATGGTCACTTCTTAACACTTCCCAGGAGTTATTAATGGAATAGTTCATGCAAAAATGAAAATTTGCTGAAATTGTACTCATGTTCAGGCCATCCAAGATGTAGATAAGTTTGTTTCTCTTCATCAGAACAGATTTGAGGAAATGTAGCATTCCATCACTTGCTCACCAATGGATCCTCTGCAGTGAATGGGTGCCGTCAGAATCCAAACAGCTGATAAAAACATCCAAATATTCCACAAGTAATCCACACCACTCCAATCCACCAGCTAACATCTTGTGAAGAGAAAAGCTGCGTGTTTGTAAGAAAAAAATCAATCATTAAGGCATTTTAACTTTAAACTGTTGCTTCTGACCAAAATGTGATTCCATAATCCATAACACTTCCTCCAGTGAAAAAGTTCATCCTATGTTGTCATCTCACATCAAAATCCACCAACATATTTCTTTAGATCCATTACAGACTGTTTTTGCTTGTAAACGGTGCTTGATATGTGCACAATTCTCTCCAGATACAGACAAAGTGACTTTTATACTAGAGGAAGCAATACTACGGATAGAGGACCCTTAAGCAATGATTAAAAGTTATAAACATATTAATGATGACATGTTCTTACAAGCATGCAGTTTTTCACTCCACAAGACATTGATGGACTGGAGTGGTGTGGATTACTGTGTTTTTATCAGCTGTTGTGGATAGGGATGTTCATTTCGGTTATTTTTCCTAACCGACAACCAACGCTCGTTAACCGATTATTAGCCGTTAACCGACAAGATTATTTTAAATTAGAATTGAATTCAATTAGAAAGGATAAGTGTCTGTGACCCGTTAAAAATACTAACAATTGTTTCCCGGGGATTAATTTTACATGCGCAAAAAGCAGCAAACAACAGAACATGAGGATTCACATGGCCATCATATCACATCACGCTAGAGGTCTACACGGGTGCAAAAATTCGTACCCGACCCCGAAGAGACCCGTAAATCTGCTACACTGAACCGACCCGGACCCGTCTATTATTTTGAAAGTTGGACCCGGGCCCGTGCAGAACCGAGAAATGTCAAAAATGTACTACCCGGAACCGACGCGGACCGTCAATTATTTGAAAGATGGACCAGAACCCGGCCGGGAAGACACAGACCCGAATGGACCTGATCGGCACATATTCCACAGCAAATTGCTATTAACAAGTCGCGAAAATTAAACTTTTTGTCTTACCTAATGTAAGAAGCCTTCTCCCTTGTACCTGACTGAAATGCACACAATCCTCCTTGCCAAGAAAGTTCCATCCGTGTTATTCCTCTCTTGCCAATTGAAATGCGTAATCCACTCATTATTCCAGTTTCAAAAGTCCACTTGCTGTCACGGTGACGGATGACAAATGCAACTTTGCAGTTTTGCATTTTTTTGTATCTCGAGTCAACTTGCATAATAATTTAGACTGTTTGCCCATTTGGATTATAATAACGATTGCTCGTCCAGTGCCATGGCTGCTGACGTTAGCTTTACTTATTTGCTATCATCTCTGTGCTCTCTGAGCCGAATTTTTTTTAGATATAACAACAAGACGGTTCATTCATAATATTATTTAAAAAATAATCAATAATAACTCACATCACTCATGAAGGTATCATGAAGGGGCGCTCACACTTTTCTCATCCTAATTTTACAAGTTGAAAGTTCAAAAAGTTTTTATTATTGTGAATGTACACAAATAAAGGCAAACCTTTTACAATTACGATTATCTTTATGACTAAAAGGAGTAGTTGCTTCCACTGTTAGAGGGAAAAAAATATAACGATTGCGCCGTTACACACAGTTAAGTATTGCTACCTTGACAATGCAGCCTGTACCGCCGTGATGTAAAACATTTTGTTTTACGTGGATATTGGAACACGAGTGAATTAGGCTACATATAATATTTTGCCATTCAAATACATCGCGAATACGGAAACATTTGATTTTGTGTCGAATGAGAGCTCCAACGTTGGTTTCAGTTTCGTTTTAGCCTAAATGAATTCGTTTTGGCTTGTCATTTATATTGCTATAGCTTCTTATATTTTTAATTCTTGTTCTTTTCTAAATACTGTTAATTGAAAGGCTTTGTTGTGGAGTGTGGGGAACTAAAATAACTTAGCTAAGTTTACAGTGTTTATGTTTGTAAACATTTCGCGTCGGCATTAGGCCTATTTCTGAATGAAATAATAAAATGCAACTTACACGCGACTTATGTTGTTTTTCTCTAAAAAACTAAATTTTTATTATACTCGTAGCGTATTTTAACCATGCAGCAAATCTTTTTAAATAGGCTATTTTGATAAATTACTGAAAAAATAAAAATAAATGACTTTTTAAACCGTTTAACTGATTGTATTAATCGGTCAAAATTCTATACGCTCGGTTAACGGTTAACCGGTTAAAATGAACATCCCTAGTTGTGGACTCTCATTCTCATGGCACCCATTCACTGCAGAGTGCAGACCAACTGATGTAATGCTAAATTTCTCCAAATCTGTTCCCACAAAGAAACAAATTCATCTGCATCTTGGATGGCCTGAGGGTGAATTTAAATTTTTGGGTGAACTATTCTTTTAATGCATTAACAACTTTACCACCACACAAGTCAACGTCAAATTCCATGCTTGGAAAAATCCTTTGTATAACACAAAAGGAGGAGATTTCACATTTCAGATGTCAGCAGTGTTGTTATTCATATAGATAATGACACCGTATAGCCAGGGGTCTTTTTCTACCTTATTCACAGCCATAGCCTTTCCTATAGGGAACCAGTTTGATCAATTACCAAGACACTGAACAGCACAACCTTCAGTGTCACAACACTTTGTCACAGACAGAAGAAGATTTCTTTCATTTATTTTTCAACTAACCCTTCAAGACATTCAATAGCACGTGTGCTTTTAAATAGAAATGGTTTGTGACTATTTTTATTCAAATTCCAATAACATATACTCCCTTTCTGAGGTTAATTTCAATCCATGCCCCATGATTTACTGCTCAACATGCTGGTATGATGGCTCAGAATTTAACAGCATGTTGCTACTTGACTTTTCCAGGGCAGTACACACACACACACCTATGATTTAGTGCTGCCAAACGTGGCTTAAAGACATTTGTTGCATGACCTTCAGTGAAATATCCTAATTTATGATTACTTTAAAACCCAAACATCTAGTGAACTTAGGTTTGGCACCATAATAAGATGATTTAATCAATAAATACGATGACTTACGATGCATTAAACATAAAATGCATTGATTTGATATGGGTTAAACATAAAATGCATTGGTTTACTATGGGTTGAACATGAAATGCATTGGTGTAAGACGGCCTCAACATAAAATGCATTGATTTTGATATGGGTTAAACATGAAATGCATTGGTTTAAGATGGCTTGAACATGAAATGCATTGATTTGACATGGGTTAAACATTAAATGCACTGATTTAAAATGGCATGAAATACATTGATTTAATATGGTTTAAACATGAAATGCATTGATTTTAGAGAACATGTTTTTAAAGCATTATACTCACCCCATTCCAAAAACTCAGCAATGTTCTTCTCTCTTCTGAGTGGGGAGTTGATGCACTCATCATAAAGGCTGATGAGAACATCCAGAAGACTTTCCACACTAAAAGACTGTCCATTGGACTGGACAGGACCATCCAGAATCAGTTTTTCTAGCGTTTTCAAACGCACTTCTCCAGACATGGTGCAAAACGAGTGTGTCCCAAAAAAAAATTAGTGTATTGTTATTAAAATCAATGCAAATACGCGCAGTCTTTGGAGGGGATCTGTAAATAGCTATAAATATAACCCACCCATCATCACAGTAAAATGCAGTCACAAAACTGCAGTAAACTCAAAAATAATTTTAATTTCATACCAAATAAAACTTTTCACTACATCTTTTAATGCACTCTGTGGAAGATCAACAAACCACCAAATGAGGGGCGGAAATAACAATTTTAAGACATTTATCCAAAAAGACCTTGCACGTTTATGTAAAACTGTAATTTATCTCTTGCGTTTTGTAAATATTAATTTACATATATTTAAGTGCCTTTTCTGTAGCTACTCAAGCTAACGAGCTAACAACATTCCCGCGACACAATGTATCTTAACTGGTTTACTCTCATATAAATACAAAAAAATCGTCTAGGAATATTAACAAGTAGTAGTGTCAAACCATGTCATGTATATAGGCTGTAAAACATCCCCAGTTTGTTCAACTTTAACGGGTTAAAATAACTGATGCTAATGATCCAGCTAATAAAGACGTTTGGCTAGCAGGCTAAAAGATTTTAGCTCGTCCTCAAAAGAGAATTTTCCTCAAAACAAACAGGAATAACATGACACGCCCGACAAAAGTGATATTTATGCACTACGTGTGTGAAAAATGTGGATAAAATATGTTTATGTCCGCAAAAAGTGAGTTTAGCGAAGTTCCTCAATGACACCGATTGAGTGTCGCTTAGTTTTCCATAGTCCTTATCCCATGAATAATTCCTCGAAAAGTAAGTCCTGCCCGCGGGATGAAATCCGTCACATGATGATGATGATGGGGTGAAGATGAGAAGGAGGATGGTGATGGTGGTGGTGAGTATGTGAGGTGACGGGGTGATTCTCTCTCATCTGCCCGCCTCCGCTGAGTGTGTTTCAGGAATGATGAGGAGAAACATGGCGACTAGTCTCTCTGTCTCTCTCTGTCTCTCTCTCTCTCTCTCTCTCTCTCTCACACACACACACACACACACACACAGTCATGATGAACACACACACGCGCGCTCACTCACTCACATTCAGACACACACATCAAAATAAACATACAGGCTACATGCACATAAACATATACTTGCATTTACATAAACATACAGTACACATATATAGACATTCACATGCCTATAAAACATTCATAAATACAGATATAGATACAATCTCTCAGACACTTTAAAGAAATAACATATAAATAAAAACAAACAAATACACTTACATATAAACAAACAAACATGCACATATAAACGGATAGGACAGATGGACACACTTTGGAAATACACAAAAATAGACACACATATAAACACGTATACATGTAGGCTACAGCATATAAACAAAAACATAAATGTGCATCCATAAATACACATGTATACAGACAAATAGCCTATACATAAATACAGAAGTCTACAACAGCTGTTTTGCTGGGGGTGGGGTGTTTTGAGGGGTGGGGCAGGTTGGGGTCACATGTGTTCACACTTTCATTTTTAAGATTATTTTAATGCTATTAAGTATGCTTAGATGATTTTATGTGGTTTAGTTGAATTACTTCACTTTCATAATGTATATTGGGAATCAGCTGTCTGTCTGTCTATCCATCTATCTGTCTGTCTGCCTGTCTAACGTTCTTTCATTCTATCTATCATTCTCTGTCTCTCTGTATCGATATCGTTCTATCTATCTGTCTGCCTGCCTGACATTTTATCGTTCTATCTGTCTGTCTGTCTATCTTTCTATCTATCTGTGTGTCTATCTGTCTGTCTGTCTGTCTTTCTATCTATCTGTGTGTCTGTCTGTCTATGCTAGAACAATATGGTCACTCAGTTCATTTTTACCTTCCTTTTTTTATTTAGTAACTTATATTTTAAATTCTAGTACATTGTAGCAGTACATGTATAGCGCATATTTGACAATTTATAAAAATGTTTATGAAAGGAAAAGTACTGAAAAGTTGCTTTCGTCGTATAATATCAAGCACAATAAATATACAATGTAGCAAAATTAATTCAAAATTAATTCCACTAAAATAATATAAAAAAGTTCACTTTAATTGCAGGCTTAATTGTTTAAGTAACACTCAAGTAGTACAAATGTGCTGTCGTAAGACTGAGAAAAAAACAAGATTTGGTTTTTAAAAAGCCTTTTTCCAAAAGGTACATCTGGAAAAAGGGGGGGTCGTCTTATAATCAGGGTCGTCTTATATTCGGGCCAATACGGTAATTGCACTTTTTCAACCACATTGAATTTAATTGCCAAGAAAGGAAATAAAGTTGAACCTCTGGAAACTGAGATGAGATTACATAAATGAATGTGGCTGATTAAAATGGATTAAATTAAATATGTTATTATGATATAATAGGCTAATAAAAACTATAATGTGACGCTCAATGTATAGCACGTATAAATGTGAAGTACTACATTTTGGTCAATTCTGAATGCCAGAGCTCCCCCTTGAGGCTGAAAAAAATCCACTGAGCCTGTTGAGACGGTTTAGGAACAGTTTCTTGCAAAGACACGGTAAAGCAGCGTCACCTACTGGCCACTTCAGTGATTCATTTACTACTTTTCTAATTGGCTGCATGGAATTCATGGAAAAAATTTGTGAAGAGAATGAACAGAATTTATGGAATGGAGGCAAACTGTGACGCAGAATATCTTTTTATTCTGGTTTGGCATTTTCGATCAAAGAAAGGCAAAGCAGACTGTATATTAACAGTTTTGTCTGACTGAATAGCTTAATTGCATTTCTATTAGTCTTGATAGTGGATCAAATAAAGCCCTCCATCATAGCAGTAAACATTGAGGACATCTGATGTGTGTAGCAGCTGGGCTGGTTTCAATGAACAGCTTCTATAACGCTCATCATTAACACCTTTTGTGTTTATTGGGGCTCTTGATTAAAAGGGCTAAAGTACAGGACAGTGTTAATGTTGGTTTAATCCTTCTGATCCCTTTTCATATGCAATTAGAAAATGAGAAATACCACTTTCAGTCTAGATCATCTAATTAATTGATGTGCTAGAATCTGCAGCATGGAGAAATCAAAGAATGTCAATCGCAACCCCCCCACCCTCCAAAACAACCGTCTATAGCTAGAAATAATAGTTTGGCTTAATGAGTCATTGAACGTCTCAGGCCTAAGATCTTTTGTTATGATGGTGTGTATTCAAAGCATTAAGCCCAATACAATTTTAACTGGACTGTCTCTTGAAATATCTTACAAGGACAGATAGTTTGGAATATACCACTGAAAATGTACAATACACGGAAATTAAGTATTATTAAATTAAATATAATTTAATAATATTTAATACTGACTGAGACCACAGTGCAAAAAAAAAAAAAAAAGTAAAATGAAGCTTGAAAAAAAGTTACATTTTTCAAGAAAAAAATAACTTGGAAAATTTATAACAAAAAAAACATTAAATATATTGACATTAAATACATTGATATTTATCTACATAATTATTTTTTATCTTTCTGTCTTTATTCATTTGATGACAAATCGCCACTATCTTAAACAAAGGATAATTTGTTTTAAGGTGCAGGTGAAAGATTTGACAGAGATACAATTGTGTAAACAAAAATTGTGCAAAATAAATGTTAAATTTTTTAACAAGTCTTTATGAGGTCCACAAATTCTTATTTCTTTTTTTTTTTTTT